GCCATCAACACAGAGCCTGATGTGGGGCTTGAACTCACGAATCGCAACATCATGACTTGAGCCGAAGTCAGACACTTAACTGACTGAGCCACCCAGGCACCCCAAAGGTGTGTTTTTAAATGAGATAGCAGTGATATTTATACATCTCTGTGAATAAACTCACTGACCTGTACGATCTGAAAGGGCGAGTTTCATGGTAAGTAAATTATATCGCAATAAAACTTTTTAAAACTAGGGCTGGCCTGAAACCATAGCTACCCCTTTTGATAGTAAGTCAACTGCACAGATACCAGCGGGGCCTCTGGCCATCTCCAGCTGGGGCCTGGACTGGACTAGTATCTTACTGTGACGTTGTGCTGTTTGGAATTCTCAGTCAACCAGAGAGAGAGCACTGTAGGGTCTGACTGCTTTGTAGAAGGCTCATCCAATACCAACAGGCCAAGGTTGTCTGGCTTTCCATCAGGACGTGGGACCTGGTTAAGAGAAAGGAAGAAAGAGGAAAAAATGGGGTTGGGCATACATAATAAGGCCATATCTGTTGTTTCCAATCAGCTGAAGAGGAAGAACTCTTCATTACTAGTATTAAAAAGCATGCTTGCATACCATGCTGTACTAAAATATGATCTACTACAAAACGCATGATCTATAGTATCTTAAATATAAAGCTGATAATTAGCCAAATAAATGACAAATTTTTAACATATAATGGTAGAATGAAGTTATTACCTAATACAATGAATAGAATTTGGAGAGCAAGATTAAGAACGCCAATGAAATGAAGAATGTATATGAAGGTAGCCAGTGCTAGCCAAGGAAATTAGTGGAATTGTTAAGAGTAAGAGAGGGGTCAGAAGAAACACCTAAGGACTCAGTTTTAGGATGTTTCGACTGTACCTTTAGGAATGCGTCAATATCCCCAACAGCGGGGATAAAATCAGGAATGAAAGGTTTCAGTTTGTGGTCCAGGTCGATCATCTGAGGGGTGTACCTAGGAGACATTGCCAAGGTTAGGTGGAGAAAGTCAGAGAAACGAACTTTACTGTTCAGGTTAAAAAAATCTAAGGAGAATGGCCCCATTTCAGACTGGAGGTAGGAAACGGGTGGGGAGGTCATGGGGGAAGGGCCTGGTGCTCACCTGCTGATATATTGGAAGAGTTCCTTAATCTCAGCCGAAACTGGCAAATGTTCATAATCTGTAGGATCATAGGCCCTGTGAAAAGGAAAATATGGTTCGAGGTGGCCAGAGAAGAGCAGACGTGGCTGAGCCCTGGTTCAGCCCCCTCCTCACTGACCACAGACTCCCTGACTCTGAACCTTGTTTCTGCCCTGCCCACAACTGCCCTTCCTGGGTGGTTCACAAGGCAACTTTAGAATGGATCATAATTAGCTTGGTTATCTCTGCCAGTGAAGAAGAAAAGAGTCGCAGAAAATGGAAAACAATTGCTAAACATTTTAGAATGAAGCATATATTTTGTTTCCCTTTTTTGAATGAAAGGGATGGAGAGAAAATATGGTATGAGATTGCAATTTTTTAAAATTCAGGTATAACTGACAACATGAGATTTCAATTTCTGACATGAAAATAATCTGTCCCAAGAAAAACAAGAATTTTTACAAAGATGCTTTTAACAGTGGGCACCTGGGTGGCTCAGTCAGTTAATCTTCTGACCCCTGATCTCAGCTCAGGTCTTGATCTCAATATGAGTTCAAGCCCAGCCTTGGATTCCACGCTGGGCCTGGAGCCTATCTTAATTCAAAAAAAAAAAAAAAAAAAAAAAAAAAAAAAAAAGTTTTTAACAGTGTTTATTTAAGAATTTTTTCAATGTTTGTTTTTGAGAGAAAGAGAGAGAGAGTGAGCACGAGAGGGGCTGTGAGAGGGGGACAGAGGATCTGAAGCAGGCTCTGCACTTTCAGTACAGAACCCAATGTGGGGCTCGAATTCACAAACCATGAGATCATGACTCGAGCCGAAGGCAGACACTTAACCGACTGAGCCACCCAGGTGCCCCTTAACGGTGTTATTTATACAGGTAAAAAATTAGAAACAAAATACCCAATACTTGAGAGATGGTTAGGCATGTCAATTTGAATGTTTAGTAGTTATTATTATTTTTAATTTTTAAGTAAGCTCTACACCCAATGCGGGGCCTGAACTCACAACCCAGAGATTGAGTTGCATGCTCTACTGACTGAGCCAGCCAGGTGCCCCCAAATATTGTATAGTTATTAAATACAGAATATAGGAAATGTATACAGTAAAAAAAACAAAAAACAAAAACAAAAACCAGTAGAACACATTAATTATAATTAAGTAAAATGTAATAAACATTGGCAAAGTACATAGGTGACTTGGAAAGTTATTAACAAAGGTCTGAGGAGGGTAGCTTAGCAAAAAACAGAAATATATCATTATTGTTTTAATGTTCACTTATTTACTTTGAGAAGGAGAGAGAGAACCCCAAGCAGGCTCCACGCTGACAGCACGTGCTGATGCGGGGCTCCATCTCACGAACCACGAGATCACGACCTGAGCCAAAATCAAGACTTGGGTGCTCAGCCAACTGAGCCACCCAGGTGCCCAAAACTAATACATTATTGACTTGAAGTTTCCATTTCCCCAGATTCTGTAATTTATGAAAGCAGGATATGATCATGAAGTAAGCTGGGAAACATGAAAAGTCAGTCTGGGATTAAACTTTTGCCTCATTTGCTTAGTGTCTACCTGTGGGTGGATAGTCCACAGGTAACTTTTTATTAAACTGCTTGATTTAATAAGTGATACATACAGATGATATAAAAGGAAAGGCATAAAATGTACAAAGTGAAAAGTTATGGCTCACTTCCACCCTTGTCCCCTTGCCACCATGTTCCCCTCCCCAAAGTAATCACTAGGATTAGTTTCTAGGGTTTCCTAGAAATAGTCTACATAATATTCGTTTTATACCCTAGTAGCACAGCGTAAACACTCTTCTATACCTTTTTAAAATTTAACACTGTCTCTTGGAGATTGTTCTTTATGGTGCACAGAGTGCTGCCTTATACTTTTTAATGGCCAGACAGAATTCCACTGATTGGCTACACCATCATTACTTTAAGAGTAATGGTATATGAAATGGATGGGCCTTAGAATCCACTTTGATTAAAACCTATAGGGGTGGGTCATGAATAATCTATCCCGAGGACTGGAACAGGGTGAGGTTTTTCTTTTGTTCTTGTTTTTTGTTTTTTTTTTGAGAGAGAGAGAGGCAGAGGGAGGGATACAGAGAATTCCAAGCAGGCTCTATACTCAGTGTGGAGTCCTACGTGGGCGGGGCTCGATCCCACAATGCTGGGATCATGACCTGAGCTAAAATCAAGAGTCCGATGCTCAAACCAAATGAGCTACCCAGCGCCCCAAGAGATGTTTTTACTGAAACACCAGCCAGGAACACGTGCTTCAGTGTAGGGCTCCCAAGCACTTATTCTCTATCCATCCAACAAAGATCTGAGCCTAAACTAGAAACTCTCCTGTGCCTGTATGTTTTCCTTGCTGAACAGAATTGCTTGTGTATGTATATAAATGTTATTTCCTCGTTCCCAACATTAGAGCTCCTTGAAGGCAGGGACCACCTTTTATATTCACTCAGCAAATCCTCACAAAACCACCGAACCTGCAAATATTTCAGATAATGCAAGTGATGTCATGGGACTCAATGAGGCAGTGTGGCCGGAAGAGAAGGAAAACGCATTATGCTGGCTTCTGAGACACCTGAAAATCCTACGCAGGATCAAAGGGAGATGCTAGAATTTCACTCCTAACTGATGTGTCTTCCTCCCTGGCTTGAGTGTCCTCAGCGAGGCAGGGCTTTCCTCACCCTTCCAGAGGGGCCCCGTGCTCTTCATCATCATCATCTTCATCAGTATCCGTCTCAGAGGAGTCATCGTCGTCATCATCATCATTTTCACTGAAGCCCCGTTGAGGTGTCAGCTGCGAGGGCTTCTTCTTCTCCTGAGGTAGGGCAGGGTGGGCACAGAAAGAGCTACATAAAGAGAAGGTTAGTGTGCCTATGCCCCATTCCCTCCTAGTGCTCTCACACATACCCTCCCGCCCGGCACCGAATGACCAGAAAGAGAGGGTGGCTCTCTCCAGAAAGGCCCCAAGGACTGTCATCTTTTCCTGCTTGGCTGCACCTGGGGCCTCACTTTCTATAACCACATTCGATTTTCTCCTTGAGGCCTGGGTATAGATTTTATCCAGTAGATATCTATTTTACCTTTTACTTAGGAGACCCCCAGTCAGCTCCAACTCTAAAAGTTAGAGACTTGAAGGAGAGGAAGGCAACTCTGATTAGTTATATTTTGGAAGGAAATGAGGGCAGATGAAGTTGGAAGACAATTTTAGGGGAATCTTAATACAAAGCTCATGGGGAGGAAATCTAGTGTTTAATTTGCAAGACTGCCGAGAGTAAGCTGCTAATAACTATCAAAAGAATCAACTCCGTCCCCGAATTCCAATCAGCAGTTCCAGAGACTATGGGTTTTTCACTTCCATTCAGTCACACTTCTCTTCAGTGGGTATTAAACCTGCCCATAGTCCCCGTCCCTTCCCCCCCGAAGTCAAATGCAATGACTACATGTTATATCTCAAGATAAGAGACTCTTCTGTCCTTGGCATTACAACCTACCTTTCCGAGCTTCTGGTTCTCTAAGTATCATCCCACACTCTCAAGGGTATGAGGAGTCCAGTTTTGGGACTTGCAGGGGCATTTGGGACAGGGTCCATGTCTTTGCCTCTGTGGCCTGGAGCCTGTGACATGCCCTCACTTAGGACCCGAAGGATGACCGACTGGTCCCCTTTCAAAGTAGGTTTGGGGCACCTGGGTGACTCAGTTGATTAAGCGTTCGACACTTGATTTTGGCTCAGGTCATGATCTCATAGTTGTGAGATCAAGCCCTGTGTTGGGCTGTGTGTGCTGAGCATGGAGCCTGCTTGGCATTCTCTCTCTCTCTCTCTCTCTCTCTCTCTCTCTCAATATTTTTTAAAAATAAATAGTAGGTTGGGGCGCCTGGGTGGCTCAGTCGGTTAAGCGTCCGACTTCGGCTCAGGTCACGATCTCACCGTCCGTGGGTTCAAGCCCCGCGTCGGGCTCTGTGCTGACAGCTCAGAGCCTGGAGCCTGTTTCAGATTCTGTGTCTCCCTCTCTCTGACCCTCCCCCATTCATGCTCTGTCTCTCTCTGTCTCAAAAATAAATAAATGTTAAAAAAAATAAAAATAAAAATAAAAATAAAATAAATAGTAGGTTTTGGGGGGCACCTGGCTGATTCAGTTGGTAGAACATGAGACTCTTGATCTCAGGGTTGTGAGTTTAACCCCCTCATGGGGCATACAGCTTACTTAAAAAAAATAGCAATAATTAATTAATTAAAAAAATAAAAGTAGGTTTTTTTAAAAAATGTTTATTTCTTTTGTGAGAGAGGGAGAGGGTGAGGGAGCGCGACACGGGGCTCAGTCCCACGACCGTGAATCACCGATAAACCAGTCGATGCTCCTTGAAGCTGAAACCACCGTAAAAGTAGGTTTCGAAAGCTTGGTTTCCACTTATGCCTATAACCTTGCTCTGGGATTAACAATATTTGGTTCAGTTTTAAAAGTGACTACTTGTTTACTCTTACAGTCAAGCAACTACTGGCATATAAAACTGTGACATATTACATAACATCAAAAATGCTTTTGGTCACAGGTTCCTGTATGCATAACACAGAATTATTATATATAGATAAAAATATATTTTAACTAACTTCTGTATATGTGTGTGTGTGACAAGTAACCAGTTACCCAGAGGTGATATTCATGTTGTGCTTTGTCTAATAGATAAGGGTCTCCTATAGTGCTCTTTTTTTTTTTTAACGTTTATTTATTTTTGAGACAGAGAGAGACAGAGCATGAACGGGGGAGGGTCAGAGAGAGGGAGACACAGAATCTGAAACAGGCTCCAGGCTCTGAACTGTCAGCACAAGCCATGAGGGAAAACTTCAGAACTCCATGACGGCCCTTGAGATCATGACCTGAGCCAAAGTCAGCCGCTTAACCGTCTGAGCCACCCAGGCGCCCCTAGTGCTCCTTCTTAACTCAAAATCTGCCAAAGCAATCCCTCATCACACAGGAAGTAGTTTGGTAAAGGCAGCTTTTTAAGAATACTGATGGCCAATTTAAAGGTTATTAAAAATAACCTCTCTGATTCTAGGTGCACACTAAATTAAAAAGATAAATTGAGTCCTGAATGTTGGTCACAGCATGATGAAGACTAGAAAAATTTAGGGTGAACATGTAAAACTAGGAGGCCAAATTAGGAAAACTGCTCACTTTTCTTTTGTCTGCTTCTTCAAAGCTATGTTTTGCAAAATCTCTGATCTAAAGGCAGAGGGCTTCCTATGCCACAGACAGATGCCTAAAAAATTACTTTGCGGGTAAGATGTTAAAACAGCACACTAGTCACCAAGTGGAACGACTTTATTTTTCTTAATAATTTATTTATTATATTTTTTAGTAATCTCTACACTCAACCTGAGGCTCGAACTCACAACCCCGAGGTCAGGAGTTGCGTGCTCCTCCCACTGAGCCAGCCAGGTGCCCCAAAGCAGGACTACTTTAAAATGTGACCTTGTATAAAAAGCTACATTTTCTACAATCAGTCTATATTACTATAGCTTTTTGCATTACTTCAAATATCCTTCTTCACTTGTTTCAAAGCTCCTGTTCTTGAAGGATAATCAAAAGGTAACTAACCATTGGATCACGTGCTAAGGCTGAACACAATGGCTGTGTAGGAGAGCATGTGTGCACCTGTAGGGTCCTGCCTAGAGCTGGAGGCATCTTGCCATCTTTCTTTCAGAAACAGAGCAATCCTCCAGGTTCACAGAACCAACAACAAAGTGACATCTGGGTCTTAAAACTTCAAAATTAAAGTCTCTTTCACAAAATATTGGCAGTATCACAAATGTTGACAACGAACAGATGCCTAGACCAATAATTCCAAACTCGCTTTATCATAAGAATTACTTGGGAGTGCTTGCTAAAAATATAAATTCTCAGGCTTTTACCTTCAAGATCCTGATTCAGTAGTTCTGGGTGGGGACTGGACATCTGTATTGTTAAAGGTAAGTACTCTAGTTGATTCTTATTGTCCATAAAGTTTGCAAAAACAACGCCTATATTATATGAAATATATGAAATATATATATTCCTCACCAAAAAGTCAGCTGTAATAGTAGGCTTGACTCCAGAAGGAAACAATTTTTTCTTTTTTTGAGAGAGAGAGAGAGACAGGGTGCAAGTGAGCAAGGGGCAGAGAGAGAAAATCCCACAAGAGGCAGACAGAGAGAGAGAGAAGCGGGGCTCACCCTAAGCGGGGCTTGTGTTTTTACCTGAAGCAGGGCTGAAACTCACGAACCATGAGATTATGACCTGAGCTAAAGTCAGATGCTTAATGACTGAGCCACCCAAGCACTCTGAAGGAGTCAAAATCTTAAGGCTCTTTGCTCCTGATTTTCCTACATGAGCTCAAAGGTATCCAACCCAACCCCTGGAGGTGAGTAGTCAAGAAATGTTTACTGCTGGGGCGCCTGAGTGGCTCAGTCGGTTAAGCATCCTGACTCTTGATTTTGGCTTCGGCCATGATCTCACCATTCATGAGTTTGAGCCCCGCGTCAGGCTCTGCACTGACAGCTCAGAGCCTGGGGCCTGCTTCTGATTCTGTGTCTCCCTCTCTCTGCCCCTCCCACCAACTCCTGTGTGCTCTCTCCCTCTCTCAAAAATAAGTAAAACTTAAAAAAAAAAAAAAAAAAAA